TGTCTAAGTTTAATAAAGCCATATTTAAATAATTCTTAAAACAAATATTTTGAATTTAAAAGTTTAATGTTATAATATATATGTCGCGTGGACTGCTAATTCGTGTTAGCAATTAAGTTACTACAAGTGTTAGTAATTAAAGTTAAAGTAATTAAATTAGTGTTAGCGTTAGAATTTAAATTACTGACAACTACCGAAAATATGTTGTTTATATGCTTTGCAAGTAAGCTAGCCTTAGCAACCAAAAGAAATTAAACTCATAAGAATTGTGAATCTCATTTTAACACATACTCCCAATATTGTGTACTTAGCGCAGATAAAATACTGTTAAAACAACGTTAATGTAAACGTAAGCTGTTGCTATGCAAAATTCAGTACCACAGTAACCAAGTTAAAACATATATAAAATCTGAACGGGGATTTAAGGGGACGAGCAATCAGTTAAAACTTGATTAAAGCATCATATAGCTTAAATAGATAGAAGACAGCACATGGCAAATTATGGTAATTATTAGTTATAGTGCGGCAAAAAAAAAAGTTTCTTAAAGATTTTTTTTTAATCTGTGATTTTCAAAGTATTACAAAGATAACATGCTATGACATATTTCACATATTGATTTTTCTTATCTCTAAATACTCAAGAATAACATGTACTGTACTTGTTTCAAAAACGTTTAACCAATTTTTATTATAACCCCAAATATTTTTTTTGAATGAAAATATTTGTTCAAGCTTGATTCTTCAACTTTTATTGTTCAGGATTGATTGTTCAACGTTGATTCTTCAAACCGAATTGTTATATCGTCAAGACATAAAGTTCAATTTTTTTTTAAATCGCACTTGGATAATTGGATTTTTACGAAAATAAGTGAAAGGGTTAATACAAGTTTTTTTTGATAATCATTTTATCTGCATCCAGTTTTTTTTAGTATTTTTTTATAAAAAAATTTTTTTTTATTTAACTTTAATGAAAAACATCTTTTAAATTTTATTAATCAACAGCGTTCCGAAAGTAGCACGTAGATGCTCCTAAGAAGTCTTTATGGACTTTTCTGTGATAAGACCATAAGGACTTCTTAGGGCACTTGAACAACAAAAAAAAGGAGATAAAACCAAAAGTAATAAAATAGTTGACTAATTATAATAAAAATAAAAAATAATACTATTTATACTTAAAAAGACCTTTTTTTATCTGCTCCGTGTTGTTTTCTTTGGCAACCCAAAAGACTTTTTTTGAGTCCAGGACGACACCCTTCTTGGTCACTGGTGTTACCTGATATTATATCATCATTAAGCAATAAAACAACATTTAAAAATTATTTTTTATTATTCGTGACGTGATGCGTTATGAGGATTTATATAGCGACCGAACTTAAGAGATGGTATTGAAAGTTCGGTCAAAGTAGATGTTCTCATTTGAAATTAAATATTGAGTACTAGTTTTTTTTTCCATATTTTTATTTTTACAATATCAATTATCAATATAATTTTCTGCATGTTTCAGAAAAAAAAATTAAAAATTTTTAATTTATGCGTGATAAATAAATGTTCAAATCTTAAGTAACCGAACTTAGGCGATTTTACGGTATATTTAGTGGGGTAAAGTGCGTTAAAAGATTAAAATAAAAGAATTAAATTATTTATATCTTCACAGAATAACAGAATAAGAGTTCCTGAAAGTGTTGAGCGAAATGACAATTGAGTGACTCTGGCGCAAAATTTAGGGGTCAAATATAAGTTAGCTTTCAATTAGGTTCACAGCGGAAATTTAAATTTTATCAGAAGAGGTGGCCTAAAACCTAAAAAGTTGATTGAGTATCAAAACAAAAATATTGAAAAAAAATTTAATATTGGCGTCACCATAACAACAGCCACCATTTACCTCAAAAGCAGATTGCTTTTATTTAAAAAAAATGAACCAGGTACATTCTACAAGAAACTGTAACGAAAACAAACAAAAAAGAACTGAATATGTTAGGAAGACCAACGAATAAACCACAAATGGTCATCAGATAGTTTGGTTGGATAAATCAAAGTTTAACTTTTTTTGTAAAAAACGCAAGAATGTGCAAACATACATTTGATTCCAGCTATATTAACAACAAATGTTGTTATGATGGGGACTCGCAGAGGTTCATTTAATGCAGATTCTTGTAACGAGTAAATGTTTCACCAGTGGGTTGAATCCGGGAATCTTTTATAGGATTCGGTCATCGTAACAGACAATGATCCATGTCACGTCCGTTCGGAAAAGGTGTTTAAAAATTTTCCAGCTCAGATGTAACGTTTAGAACCCTACAGCCCAACGTTAAACCCTGTGGAAACATTCTGATCTAAAATTAAAATTAAATTTAAAAAATGCGATTCGTATCCCATCTGTATTGCTGGGATTGTGGAACAACGAATGCAGTATTTGGAAAGAATCGATACTGCGGCAGAAAACACAATAGTAGGAGGTAATTGTGCATGTGCTGCTCAACATATCACGAAGCATTACACAACGATTTTAAATATGGAAGATGCCCAAGTTGGTGATTAAATTAGGGATGTACCGGAATTCCGGCCGGATTTTTTTTCTTTCAGATCAATTCGCTTCTGACTGTGGTTGAACCTTTTTTTTTACTTTTTTATCACATGACATGTGATAAAAAAGTAAAAATATCACATGACTCAGGCAGGATAAATAAATCAAAAAATAATTATCCTGCAGAGCAATGAAGAACTATATGTGAACCTAGGTTAAAAATATAAATGTAAGTTTATTTTCAGAAATAGTAGTAATGCAAATACATTTGCAAAAATACCATTTGTATTTTTTACCTCGGTTTACTTATAGTTCTTCATTACTCTGTAGAATAATGATTTTTTGATCTATTTACTGCCTGTGTCGCATGTCATTAAAAAAGGTAAAAAAAAAAAATTTAACTACAGCCAGAAGCAAATTGATCTGAAGGAAAAAAAATCCGGCCGGAATTCCGGTACATCCCTAGTTTAAATGAATATTACAATAACTTTTAATGATATTATTTAAATTCAATTTAAATCTTTATATTTTTTTGAAATAAATTATTTGTGTTTTATTTATTATTTATCTGATTTATCAAATGAACTTTTCACAATCAAAATAAAAAAAAAGTTCTAACTAATACCTGATATGATTTTTCCAGTTACCGCTAAAACCGCAAATGCCTTTTTTATCACTTTTTCATTTTATTGATAATATATTATTATTTATTGAAAACCAACCTTAGGACCACCTCGACCAAACTAGGAACCAACCATTAATTACAACGTAAATTAAGCGACAAAATCAAAAATAAGCGACAAAAATTAAGCGACAAAATCAAAAATACAAAGAACTTTGTTCCGAGAATCTAAATGATAAACTTTTCTATTTTTAAATTAAAACTAATATGTTCTCAATTACATCTTACTATTTCTTATTTACAACTTTCATGTTTTAAATTGCATCTTACGTTTCTTAATTACAACTTTCATGTTCTAAACTACATCTTATGTTTCTTAATTACAAATTTCATCTTCTCAATTACATCTTACGATTCTTAATTACAACTTTCAAATTCACAATTACATTTTGAAAAGGTGTAGATTGAAAGTGTAATTTTTACATGGTTTATTTGTTTATTAACAATTTTTCAAACGCAATGTACATGCTATTTTTGAGTTTTAATATAAATTTGTTGGAGGCCGAATCCAAAATCGAAAAACTAGCATGATTGATTTAAGTTAATATGTTTATAAATGTGCGAGTTTTTATCCATTTTATAATGCTTAATTATTTGTGTCTTCAAATGGTTTTGCCAATGTAACAGAATTTACAGCCTGCACATTTAAATTTATAGACAACGAATGATTTAAAGTCTATAGGAAAAGGTTTTTTTTCCAAAAATATTTTTGAAATTTTCAATGAAGTAAAAACCAATCTTACAGTGACCGATTTACAATGCTTTTTAAGAGGTGGTCTAATTTTTGTTTAGTTAAATCAGAATATTTTTCGAATATACGGAAGTTTAAAATATTATAAATTTTTGTAGGTTTTCCGAACAGGATAAAATGTCGAAATTGGTGTTGTTAATATAAAAGCTATGAATTTTCTTTATCAACCAAGACGGGTACTCAACGCAGTTAACGCACGTTTGTTTGTGCCGGGATAGCTCAGTTGGTTAAAGCGCTGCTATAAAGTTCGGAATAATTACTGGCCGTAGCAGCAGGATTTCAGGTTCAAATCCCAGCTCTGCCTACTTAGCGTATACACACCCTGTAAATACCCATGATAACATCACCTGAAAGGACCGAACAAATCCTTTTAGGTGGGCATTATATAGACCTTGTGTGAACATTTAGAGCCATTTTTGAAATCTTTTAACTACGTCCGAGCCATTTTTTTCATTTTAAAGTTATATAGTGAAAATAACCAAAAATCCAATATTTTCCAAAAAAATAAACAGCTTAAACTCATAATTTACAGTGACTTTTTAAGCTGTTGGTATTAGGAGATCATTAAACAATAACTTTAAGGCATTTCAAACATTCAAAATGTCAAATAATTATTGGAAATTAAAAAAAAAATGAATTTCAATAGAATTATATTACTTTGTAATTGAAAAGTAAAACAGAGTAAGTGTAAAAAGTAAAACAGAGTAAGTGTAAAAAGTAAAACAGAGTAAGTGTAAAAAGTAAAACAGAGTAAGTGTAAAAAGTAAAACAGAGTAAGTGTAAAAAGTAAAACAGAGTAAGTGTAAAAAGTAAAACAGAGTAAGTGTAAAAAGTAAAACAGAGTAAGTGTAAAAAGTAAAACAGAGTAAGTGTAAAGTACACAATAAGATTAATCTTATTGTGTACTTTACTCTTACTCTGTTTAATCGATTGTGTACGCAAAAAGATTATCATGAAATTTATGAAATAAAAAAAACATTTATAACTATTTTTCCTTGCTGCATGCAGAACATTTTTTTAAATGGAGACATAAAGCTTCTAAAATGCCAAATAAAGCAAAAAACCATGAAGACTGCAGGAAGTCTGTTTGTTTTCTTTGCATGAGGAAAGGAGACCGAGAGTTAACTGACTTTATCATTGGAAGAATTCACAAATTGTTGAAAACGGACATTGACTTTGAAGATGAAAGGGTCCCACAGGCAATTTGCAACACTTGCCGAACTCTCTTGCAAAAAAGAGATGCTGGGGACATAAGTGTTTCACTTCCGGCAATCTACAACTTCTCTGCAGTTGTTGTCAAGCCTTTGACATGAACATCAGGTCCATGTGACTGCCTCATTTGCCAGATAGCAAAGCTCAAGCTCAACCAGAAACATCCCTTGGCACCAAAAGAACAGACCAGAAACCTTGACCAAGGTGAATCTTCCAAGCCTGGCCCTTCACCAAATTCCCGCTTAAAGTCATCAGAAAAAAGATGCACACAGTGTTTGTTCATTCTTGCAAGAGGTTTCAGACACTCATGCACTATCGGAACAAGACACCAAAACTTGCAAGCATTGGTCCAGTCAGATCCTGTTGGTGCTGAGCAAATTGCATCAGCCATCATCAGTTCAAAAGATGCATCTCCGGGAGGAACTGTTCGCCTTAGTCAAGCAAGAGGAGGGCAGTTATTTCCATTAACACCAGGTAATAATGAACTTCAGTGTGAATTACTTTTTTTCATAACTGTTGTTGTTGTAATCATTTACAAGTAATCAAAATAAGTTGTTAAATTTATCTCATTTGCTTTTTAGGCCCAGCATCTGCACACAAATCAACCAGTTCAACACTTACAATGCAAAGCTTGTTAAATGTTCAGTTGAACACAGGACTATCCAACACAGGAATGCGACAACTTGCCTCAACACTTAACAAATCAACAGAAACTCGACTTGTTGAGCCATTTCTCCAGCAAAAGTTTGCTGCTGTAGGAAAGTCATTGAACAATTTTTTTCAACTCTCAGTTGTTGACATTTCAGCAGAAAAAGGAAAAACTGAAGAGAAGAGAGCAATCGTTCACTGCAAAAATCTTGAGGACTTAACCAACAAGGTGCTGCTGTCAAGGGAATACGGCTACAATCATTTTGTCAAGCTTGGCATTGATGGAGGAGGATCATTCTTGAAAATGAGCTTATCAGTTATCAAGGTAACTGATGAAGATGACGAAACAAGAAGTCCTCAACCAAAAAGTCTTCGCTTGCTGACAAGCTCAACTGCCAGAGACACAGGTGTCAAGCGTCAACTCATAGTTGCCATCGCTGAAAGTGTTTCTGAAACATACGAGAACGTTAAAGTGATGATGAACATCATTCAATTAAATGATGTTTCATTCTGCATTTCATGCGATCTCAAAATGGCCAACATCATTTGTAGAATTCAATCCCATTCAAGCAAACACCCTTGTTGCTGGTGCAACATTGATTCTGACAATCTGTCAGAATGTGGAACTTCCAGAAGTTTTGGATCAATGAAGGAAAAATTTGAAGCCTTTGTTGCAGCTGGATCAGATACGAAATCAGCAAAAGATTTTGACAATGTTATCCATCCACCACTGATTAGCATGGATGACTCAACACTCATTTTGGATGTGATTCCACCAATGGAACTCCATTTACTTCTTGAAATTGTCAATCATCTTTACAAGAATCTTTCTGATTTATGGCCTGGTGCCAAAGAATGGCCAACTTTGTTGCACATTCAGCTCCTGCCATACCATGGCGGACACTTTGCTGGCAATGAATGTCATAAGCTTTTGCAAAACCTTGACATTCTCCAAATGCTGGCAGAAAAAGCTTGTGCCTATCAAGCATTTGGTTTCATTGAAACTCTCAGACATTTCAAAGAAGTTGTTACTTCATGCTTTGGAACAACTCTGCAGGAAGACTATAAAGAAAAGATTCAAAAGTTTAAAACTTCTTTCCTATTCTTGCCAATCTCCGTGACTCCTAAGGTACATGCTGTTTTCTACCATGTTTCAGAATTTGTAGAAAAACATCAAACCTCCCTCGGAATCTTCAGCGAGCAAGCAACCGAAGCAATGCATTCAAGGTTCAAGTTTCATTGGGAGCGGTACAAGCGCATCCCAACTCATCCAGATTATGGGAAACAACTCTTCAATTGTGTTGTTGACTATAACAGCAAGCATCTGTAACAAACAACACCTTCAAACTCAACTTTTTTCAGAAATATATGTCTTGGAATAAAAAATAAGAAATTGCGCATTATAGAATTTTTTTTAAGAAATTAAAAAACTGTTTTTGAACTTTTGTATTTTATAAAGAAAGCTTTTAGTTCTAGTCTCTAACTTGCAATATGTAAGAATCTGTTTATTTTTTATCATAAATATTGTTCAGATGAAGATGATTGTGAAAATATACTATATTGAATTTTACACTTTGTGTTTATTTTACAATAGAGCTTTAAAATAAGAAAAATGGCTCTGACAAAATTTTGAATGTTTGAAATGATTTAAAGTTATTGTATAGTGATCTCTAAATACCAACAGCTTAAAAAATCACTGTAAATTATGAGTTTAAGCAGTTTATTTTTTTGGAAAATATTGGATTTTTGGTTATTTTCACTATATAACTTTAAAATGAAAAAAATGGCTCGGACGTAGTTAAAAGATTTCAAAAATGGCTCTAAATGTTCACACAAGGTCTATATAATGCCCACCTAAAAGGATTTGTTCGGTCCTTTCGGGTGATGTTATCATGGGTATTTACAGGGTGTGTATAAGTAGCACTTCGGTACGAAGGAAACTCGTCTTGATTAGCTCTGCTATTACGATGTTTCCTTCTCGACTAGTAAATTAATAATATAGTTGAGTAAAAGAAAATAATAATCTTTTATTCATTTTAATCATTTTAATCGTTTTAATCGTTTTAATCGTTCTGGAAAATAAACGAATTTTGCGTTTTAGTGAAAAGGCTATGTTTAACTGAATTTTTTTAACACAACTAAAAAAAATAAAAATATGTTTTTAATTTAAGTCTTTTCGTATGTCTAAAATTAAATAACGTTAAATTTTTTTTTAAATTTATAGTTAAGGTATCATTTTTTGGTATAAAATAATGTTCGTGCTATACGAAAATAAAGCATTAACTAAAGAAAACAATTATTTTCCAATAAGTTTTAAGTCATAAATTCAATTTCTAACCAGTCGTATGTCTAAAAACATATCAAAGATAGAAAAAATTTATTATTTCAAGTTTAAAATCTGTTTTTTCGATTAAATATGAAAGCTTTTATTAATTTGAATGTGATGAACATAAAATTTAGACTTTTAATGTTTAATGTCTAATGCTTCATTTAAAAGTCTAAGTTCAAATTTTAAATACTATTGTGATATGCATCACCTCTATTTTCTAATGTCATTAAGCTATTAATGTCATTAAGCTAACTAAAAATCTGGTTTTTAAATTACTTGAGATTATTGTAAATATATGTAAAATAGCGGAAAAGTTTAATATTTCTTAAGCAAATTCGGAAAGTAAAGGAACGAGTAAAAAACATTTTTATGACAACAGAAAAACAAGTAAAATTTTATTTTCACAAAAAATTTATAATACAATTAACTTTATCTTTTATTATGACAGAGCAGCCTATTGTCGATCTTTTAACTTGCGGTTTTGCTAAAGTTGCAGTATTTAATGTTTTAACTGAAAAACATAAAATCAAACTTCTTGTAAATGTAATTCATAAGGTTTTTTTAATATCTTAATTATGTTAACTAACCCTAGTAAATATGTTGCGGATCGGAAAATTTGTGTGTTTGTTGCCACAGAGAACAAGCGAGTCAAAAAATATGAAAACTTGCATTAAGTGCGTTGAGTATAAATTGCATTTGAGAACTTTAAAAAGATTGTTGACCATGACTAAGACCAAATGTTAACACCATAACTAAGACCAAGACTAGTGTTGTTTATTTGATAAGCTCTATCGATTAAACATTTAACCAGATTTACACGAACTAAAAAGTTTGTGCAAAGTCCCCAGAAAGTCTTCTTATGAAAAACAGTGGAAGTTGTGGAATTGTTTGTTTTATCTAGAGTTAGGTACAAAAAATATATTTTTGATTTAACTTCTTTTTCCATCTTAAAAGTGTTTATTACTTTTATACTCCGGTTTGGTCATAAATTTGTCATAAGTTTTTTGACTTACACTTTTCTAATTTAGTGGATAATTTTTGTTTTACGTATAAGAATATTAATTACTTATTATCAAAATGTTTTTTGATATTAAATTAATATTAAAATTAGGGTCAAAAATCTAAATTTAAGCATATAAAAATTTGTTTTTATTGAAAAATCATCAAGGATTGATTATAATAAAGGACAAAAAACTTGTTTTTTACAATAAGTACTATTTTTATTAGCCCAAATTTAGCAAGTATACATGTGCTGTGCATAATTTATTCTCCTGCATATGTTTTCAGTATGTTTTTAACATTGGCTTTTATAAGCGCTGCAATACTATTCTGCATGCTTATAATGTAGTTGGCAATTAACTGTGTGATATCTGGATTGTAAAACCACACATGGACAATGAGTTAGATTAGGTTACGTTTAGCTGTGGTGACCTTACTTGATACATCTTTCAGATTGTACCATATCCCTTTAATTGGGTTCATATCAGGACTGCTTCCCGGCCAGGAAAACACCTCCATACTAATTTCAACTAAGTAATTCTTGATAATGTTTGCTGTACTTTCATTATTTGATGACGGTTTTGCTGGATCATTTTTAAAAAACTATATAAAAATGTCATTATGGTGACATTTTTATATCGGTTTTATATGGTGAAAATATAAAGTATATATATATATATATATATATATATATATATATATATATATATATATATATATATATATATATATATATATATATATATATATATATATATATATATATATATATATATATATATATATATATAAAATTTTCCTGTAAAAGTATAGTACGGCTTTCGTTCTCTTTTTCGTTCTTTTTCGTGTTTGTTTCTCTGCGTGTGAGCTTCAAGTGCAAACTAATATACTTTCATTTAAACTTTATTCACAAACACATAATTATACAAGAACATTTCATTAAATTTATTTATTCGTTCTCCTCGCGACGCATACGTCTATCACCACGATCTGCTGAGTTACGCAGTGAAGCAGTGATGGCTTCGTTAACATCTTTGTCTGTAGCAGTTTTGCAATGTCTTCGAACAGCAACTAATAATAGTTTATTATTATTTATTATTTAGTTGATACAAAAAAAAAGTTCATTTATTAAGGTAATGTAAATTTATTAATAAAAATAATGTATGAACTTGAAAAATGATGCACTCTAATGTAAAAGCTACTTTACTTACTTGCAATAAACTTTGCAAATGCCTCAATTGACCGTTTGCAGAGCGACAACAACTCATCTGTAATGTAATGTCCTATATGTATTTTCCGCCTGCTGTTGCTAGAAAGGTTAATCTAAATACAGAAAACTAAACTATTTATAACAGTTGAGTTACTTTTAAACTATATTTTATATCAGAAGTAGTTAAGCAATACTAAAAACACAAAGCTATATAAATGTAATCATACATACATATTTTTAGGCAGTTTAATTATTTTTTTAATTATGAAGTTGTATTGCAATTCGTATTTGTGTTTTAACAACTTTAGATCTAAAGATAAGGAGGAAAATCCTATAAAAGCATATCGATTGCCGAGAGATAAAAATATTCAGAAACTTTACATGATGCTTTTTAAAACTTCTTAAATGAATTGGAAAAAAGGACATATATGTTCTGCCTTTTGGAGTAGGAACATTAGAAATAACACCCAGCATTTACCAGACATTATTGTTTTTCCAGATCAGTTGGAAAAGCTTAAAAAAAGAGTTATAAATTCAAAAAAAAGTTATATTAACGCAATTTCAACAACACACAAAGCAAAGAAATTGTTAATATTTAAAAATGCTTCAAAAAGATATAAAACTGCTTTATCAATAGCTCAACAGATATATACTTTTAAAAAAAAAATCTTTGTAGTTCGTACTAAACAAACTATGAAAAAAAATTAGAGAAATTTCAAAAACTAAATTAAATAAACAACTTAAAAAATCCTTAAAAAATATTGAATTATTGCAAATTGTTATAAAAGAAAAAGATATTTGCATAACCAAATTTGCAAATAAAATACTTAAAAATTCAAGAGTTAAAAGTTGAAATTATGCATCTCTCTGGTAGCGTAGTTGATTGGAGAGAAAAACAGTTTACCTATAAAAATCAAGAAAAAAACATTTCAGTACTTATGTGGGGTATCAAAAGAAAACTTTGATATGCTTTTTGAATGTGTCCAACTGTATTTATATCTTATACCACACCCAGATTGTCCAAATACATGTGATAAAGCTGTTAACAATGAAACACAGTTCTTTAGTGTTCTGACTGTATGTCAGAACACTAAAGAACTTTGTCATGTTCGTCATGGATTAGATTTAAAATTTATGCTATTTTTGCTTGAAAAGTCAACTGTACAGTGTACTTTCAACTTGAAAAGTACAACTGTACATGTATTTTGTGCTACACTTTTTAACGAAACTATTTAAAAAATGGTGGTAGTTTTCTTCTAAACAAAATGCCAGATAAATTTGTGAAAACTGGCAATGAATTAACTGACATTGTTATAGATGCCAATGAATTCAAATTTCAGCATGCTTTTAATCTTGATTTGAGTATTTTATTGTTCTCTCACTCAGTGGCGTATCTAGTGTAGGGCAGGCAGGGCACGTGCCATGGGCGCCAACCTTAAAGGGGCGAAAAAGAGGCTTGGTTGCGATACAATAAGCAAGAACTATATAAAATAAATTAATATTTAAAAAAAACTTTAAAGTAGTTTAAAGTTTTGAAACAAACTTAAAAACTTTATTAGTTTATGTTGTAAGGTGGCGTTTTTCCAAAGCCTCTATGCACAAGTGTGTGCAACTTATGCGTAAGTAAGTGCAACTTATGCGCTTTTAATGAAACTAACAAAGAAAAGTAAGACAGACTTTTACATTTCATTTTAAATAAATCAAATCAATCATTACCTTAAATAAATCAAAACTTAAATATACAATGGTGCTTGCCTGGGCACCCTCGGAATCACTGGATTCGTCTTCTACAAATATATTCTAAAATATTTTGTTGAGACATATTAAGGTA